AACCCTATAAAAAATAAATTAAAATAAATAATTATATTCAGTCTCAAGAGAATTAAATGTTAAAAGATAAAATTAAAAAAAAAATTAAAAATTTTCAAAAAATATTTAAATAAATTCAGGTAAATATATTAAACTGAAAATCCGGGTGATGCGTTCCAGTAAACTTAATCACTTGTATTTCTTGAATTATTTTTTATTTAATTACACAAAACTTATGCGGGTGGGACTCCTTATGTATCAAATAGAAAACATAAAAAAGGAACAAACATGACAAACATTAAAGCTAAATTGAAAAATTAAGTCAAATAAAAAAATAGAAATTTAAATAACAAGGAATGGTTTTTAGTATTTTTTTTTTAACTCTGAAAGAATTGAAAATGAATTAAGTAAAAAAACAACCATTTCTTTTCTTAAAAAAAAAAAATCAGGTTAGACATATGAACTTACCCATGTGATTGGTTTGTCAAAAAAAAGAAAAAGAAATAATTCAATTAAAAACATGTTTTTATAAAAAAAACACGAGTGATCTTGAGTCAATATTTTAAACTCACAATGTAGGTGATGCTTCTTAATAGATCTAATAATTTTTTATTTTTTAAATTATTTTTCATTTAATTACGTAATAATTAGGTGGGTGAAATTTTTGTTGTATCAAATAAATAAAAAAACCTGCTGATCAAGTGACCTGTTTTTTAAGTTAGATAACAAACATATTTTTATTAAAAAAATTAAATAATAAATAATTTATTGAGACTCTATAGTGTTTATTAGATATTTTTAAATAAAAAATAGTTAAAATGAGTTTTTTTACCCAGTAATAAAAAACCTGGCTTTCCAGAAGTTTTTTAGGCCATCCGAGATGCCTGGAAATTAGCCAGCATACAACACGTCATCAATTTCTCTAGACAATGATTCCTCTGCTTTGAGTTTTTTTTTAAAAAATAAAAATAAAAAGGACATGCAGCCTAATTACAGAGAAAAAAAAATATTAATGCATTAGGTTTACAGGCTTAAACATACCTAGACTCAAAGTAGTAGATTTAAGCCCAACAACATCTGATCTTTTCCTCCTCCTCCTTTTTTCTCTGCAAAGTTTTTAATTAATATCCTCCCTTTTACGTGTATTTTTAGTTTACATTAATTAAATTTCAATTTAAATTAATATCCTCCTTTTCTTTTGTTATTTTTTTTAAATAGTAGTTATTTTTTAAAACTTGTTATATTTTTATAATATTTTAAAGAGATTATTATAATTTTTATTTTTTATATTTGATATAAATAAACTGATTTTGTATGATGTGGTTTTTGTAT